AACATTATATTGTATTCTGCCCAAAGCCTCTCTCTGAGTGAGATGGGCATTTTAGGAATATGGAATATAAATAAATAAACATAAATAATATAAATGTGTGGTCCACATTGCAATAGTGGTGGTAATGTGGCTGTTACTGTAGTCAGGTAAAGTTGCAAAAATGGGAAATGTTCAATTGTCCTTGTAACCACTGCTTTCACTTGCTGCTCAAAAAGCCATGAATCCAGTAAGTCCGCACACCCTAAATATATTCCTTCAGAAGTAGAAATTGCCTGTCCTGGCATAACATTAGTATTAATGGAGAACTGCAATGTATAAGCAGTAACAGTAACTGTAAGGCTTGTATTCAACTATTGTCTCCTTTCCAGAGATCTACAGCTTTCCCCCAGGATAAGATGTCAATGACATCTCTTCTTGAATGTTTACTTGGTTAAGAGCAGAACAGCGATCAGATCTTCTCCCAAATGGTCAGATGACCTTTCCCAGTGGCTTCATATGGATGTTAATATGTAGGACAGAAGGACTTGAAGCATTAAACAAGACAGAGACCACTGAGGCAACCTCTTCTCCCTCAGAGATCAGTCTCCTGACTAAAACTACCGACTTTATTTGTGTTTCTTGTTTTGTCTCTTGTTTGTTCTCTCTACATTTCTATTGCTGGAGTTATCTTTCAGTTAGGACAAGTTAGTCCATTTCTCCTATCAGTCTTCCAAATCATCTTGCTCTGGATCTTCACGTTTGTAGGTAATAATTTGCAAGATGATCCCCCCCCCCGCTACTGTTGATCTTGTTCCATCTCCTCTAATTTATGCCATACCATTAGGAATGCTTGATTAAGTTATTATTATAGAAAAGGAATGTTTTTCAGCTCATATCCAAAGGCCCCCATTAAATGTTTCATGAGAGAACAGTATAGCATCCTTGAATAAAACTTTGACAAAATAAATATTCTACAGTAAAATCAAAAAATTCTTTTGGTGTGATTTCTAAAATGTACAGCAAGATGCCTTTCCTTTACAGGCCCTGAGTGTCTCTCATTGTGTACAAGGAGAAAAAAATGTAGATGCTTTATTTCTTTTTCCCTAAGAAAGGAAGCTTTGCATTTTAAGGGTTAATGGCGTAAACTTTGTAGATGCTTAAGAAATCTAGCTCATCCCTTAGAACTTCAGAAATACCCTTCAAAATAACCCTGTACACTTTTGGAACAAGAAGTATAAATACATTATTGTTACCATGATGTATTCTAATTTATTATTTAGAACATATGGACAGTATATTTAAACATCTATCTTATATAATTCTCAATTTAGTAGAATACCCAAGATGAGGAAGGAAGTATAATTTGCCTACCTAACTATCTTCCCACCAAATCTAAAGTAATCATCCACCACTCTATTTTATAGATAAATTATTGGGGGGGGGGGGTTGTCTCATTTTAATAATAATTATATAATATAATATTTAATAAACTGTTACAATAAATCCAGGTTCACATATAAGAATGGGATATCAGAAATCTAAAGCAAATTAAGTCATTTCTTTAAGAGAGAAAGGAAATAAATTTCTGAATTATGCCATTTCAATATAAAGATTCTGAAATCTTTTGATAAATCTATCCTATCATTCTAACACTCTTAAACAAAAATTCTAAATAAGAATTGTAAAGGAGAGCCACCATTCCCATTAAAAGACTACAAAACTTTTAGCAGAGATGACAATAATTATTCCGGCCATTTCCTCTGGTATAAAGAAAATAGAACATAGTATAACTCATTAAATTTAAATGACTGGTTCCTCCATTATATCCCTATGTGTGTGGTAACCAACTCCATGATATAAATGTGCAAATCACACAAGTGCTTATTAAAGTTGCTGTTAAAAACTAATAAAAACAAAAGGATTTTTTCAATACTTCTTTGCTAAGGATGACAGAGTATCATTCACTTCATATTCTGATACAAGCTTGTAAATAATACAAGCTACAAATCAATATTTGATGTGAATTGCAATGCTGCTATTTGTTCAGTATTAGCACTTCTCAGACATTGTAATATAATTCTCTAAAATTGCATAGCAATATATACAGAATGTTTATATTAAGAATAGATGGGACAAAATGCATGAATTACAGTAGTAGAAAGGAAGAATTAGAAAAGGAAAAGTCTAGGAGATGCATGCATAAAATTACACACAAAGTTTCAAGAAGATACAGAAAAGGATAGAAGGAACAAATACCTAGAGAAAATGAAACATTTTGAAAATTTGACAAATACACATATTTTGTGCTTTTTCTATATAATGTGATTATTACCCCCTTATACTCTAGTGAATGTAGCAGATAAGGAAGACCTTTGCCTAAATCTCTTCCAAATATTATCCTGTTTTCCAGGGCTTAAAAATGCTTTAGCCCTCTTTGCCTGCATATTTCTGTTGAGGTCACCGTCCTTATTTTCTGCACTTATCTTCTGAAGTACAGTACTTATTATTTCACTCCTCAACAGTGCCAGTCAAATGAGATGGTTTCTACAAACATAAACACCTACAGGACAAAAATATACAAAAATGCCCATTCATCAATTTTCATATGAACTTTGCTTGATCAATTGAACTTATGAATTCATACAGAAAAGTTGATGCAATTAGACTAATGTTGGCAGCAGCAAAATATTAGTTAAGACTTCAACATAGTTAAGACTTCAAAATTAAAACCCCTGTTAATGTCAAGCATAGAGGTATAAGCGTAATCATAATTCTAACAAGTCACAAGCATGACAGAGAAAGGATTGGGAACCATTTGTTCTGCATCTCGCTGAAATATGACGTTTTCATCTAGATTAAAAAGGATATTATTTTATAGGCATAAATTATAACTGCAGGTAGTCCTTGAGTTCTGTCCATTCATTCAGCAACTATTAGAAGTGATGACGGCACTAAACAAATAGGACTTTTGATATTTTCCCAAAGTTACAGATCATACAAAACCCCTGTGGTAGTGTGATCAAAATTCAGGTGTTTGACCGCTCGTCAAAACTTACTACTACAGGGGCACTTCAACTCCCCCACTCACCTATCTCCACCTGATCTCTGCCCTTTTGGTTGAGCAGAATCCTTGCCTGCCCTTACTTCACAAGGGTTGACTTCAGTTTCAGCTGGTCACCACTTGTCGTAGGTTTCTGGTTTAGTCCAGCATCACTTGATCATCATCTTGAGTGCCACCTCAAGACCATGCAATGCAAACAACCACCCATCTTGTGCTCTACTGTTCCTGCCAATTTGCTGGCAATGCTCCACTTGTCCTGCCATCCGGAAGGTATCTAGTCCTGTGCTCTTCTTGCCTTGTTGGCCTTGCTACCTCCTACTGATCTTCACCATCTACCTCCTACTGCTGCTGAGGTGCAACCAGCCTGGCCCTATGTGAAGCCACTGCTCACTGTGCCATGCCTTCTTCCCAAGACCACACTGTTCTTCAAATTGCATAGAACAGTCACACAATGCTTCAGGAGGCGTCAGGTGTTTTCCAAGCACAGAACCAGCAGGGTAGCAGTGCGTATCAGGCAGCCCAAAAGGCACAGAGACAGGGGAAAAGGTTAGGGGAGTTGAAGAGAAGGCATTCCATTATCTTCTTGAGGCCCAAAGCCAGGAGGGACCAAACTGAGAGTGGCCTGGATCAGGGTGTATCCTCACCTAAAATCCGGTGGGATTCAATTAACTATGGCAATGGTGAGTGATGGGATTGCCATTGCTAAGTGATGCATTCATGTGGCCACATAACACTTCAGTCCCAATTACCATCGTAACTCAAGGACTACCTGTATGCTCATAGATGCTTTATATAAATGAACAGATACCGTAGGAATACATCTTCAAATACAGTTAGATTGAAATTGCAAGAACATGAAACTGACGTCATTAAGTACGTCCTTTGCTGTACAAATATTTAGTATTTATAGATATAAAAAATATATATTTTAGGAAATGGACAGTTTGGTTTAACTGACAATTACTTGCTTTTTATGTTTAGTGCTAGCACTAGTAAGAGGAAATAGTTATTCTCCAAGCAATTTTGCATTGTCCTTAGTACGATCTGTCTCAAGCCATTCTAATCCATACAACCACTATGTTATATAATGTTACTATATAATAGAAATTAGGACACAAGTCAACCACTTCCTTTGAATGTATGATAAATAATAACTGAAGGCCAAATTTAGTTGTGCTTATTGTAGATGAAATGTTGATTGATTGAAACCATTAAGAGGGATACATTTTGAGTTATTCATTCACAGGGGCTGAGCCACGCAAAGGATGCCACAGAGATATTAAGGCACCATAACTGCATCCTGACATTTCAAAGACAAGTATTGCTATTTAAAACTCTATTTCAGATTGTTACATAACTTTGTACATCAAGTAGGAAAAGCCTCAATCACGCTTAATCAAGCAACAGTGTCCTACAGAGAACTTTGTCAATTAAAATGTTTCCTAAGTTACTTTGATTATCTAATTCATAGACCATTTTGAAACATTGATTTATACATTATATTTGCTTTGCCATTGTATTTGAAAATTAAATATTAATGTTAAAAACACAGTTTTTAAAAAAATAAACTGACATCTTTAATATTCAGCAGAAGTTACATATTAATCTAAGTAGAAGTTAACAATAAACTGGATGAAAAGGGACATTGCTTTTGTTTGTAAACTTCTTTTTGTGCATAAACATTTTAGTTTTGAAATATGCTGCAAACACTCTTACAAAGCATTCATTATAGCAATGCATTCCATCTAATGGTGATGAATTGAGAACATTTCTCCCTTTTCTAAATTTAGACCTTCAGATTTGCATTTAGCCCCAATACTTAGTGCTAAAGAAATGCTGAACAATCATTTTCATAAGTCATAAACATTCTGAACTACATTAAATTTCCCCTAAGAATGTAGATTATAAGCTTAAGGTTCACACACACAAAAAAGAATGGAAACTGGAATTTTAATCCTACCAGTTTGGCTGAGTTGTGAGGTGCTCCTGCTTTTCCGTGAAAGTCCCACGATAGCTACCATTTTTGCACCAATACTGGATCGCCGTTTTTTGCCACCTGTACCCACAGTGCCCACCGCTGTGTCGGATTGGCTGCCATCGTTCTTCTCTAGGGTATACATATCCCCACTGATGCTGGTGCTTTTAGTTATGTTCTGTCCTGAAGCTCCAATCTGTCTGCTTTGCATTTTAGATGTGAAAACACTGCCAGGCAGGAGATGGATAGACAGCACCATCAAAGAAAGAAAGAAATAAAAGAAAAAGAAATCAGTAAAGGAAGGTTTCAGACTGAAAGTGTGGGATGACTTTTGGGAGAAGCAATTAATTCACACAGACATTGGTTTGTCACCGAAGTTCAAATGATTTATATTTCTTTGTAGTTCATTGTACAGTAATTTTTGTAGTTATTATTTTGTCTCATCACAAAACCTATTTGTAAATTTTACTGAAAATCTCTGGCATTGAGATTATGGTACTCTAAACAGTAATATTATAACCATGTAAGAAATACATAATGTATGTTTTTATCGTTTGTTATTTTTATATATGAATATCAGTTATCCACTGACGGCCTGCAGGTAGTCTTCGACTTATGACCATTCATTCAGTGACAGTTCAAAATTACAAAGGTGCTGGATAATGTTCTGAAGTTCTGGCTGTTGCAGTGTGCCCGGAGTCATGTGATCAAAGTCTGGGCACTTGACATCCCTTCTGCACTTACAACCAGAGGGACGCTGCAACTCCCCCAACTACCTATCTGTTCCAATCAGTGCCCTTTTATCCATCTGCCACGCAGCTGATCATTTTTGCCATATTTCTTGCTTCATCTGCTAATGAGGTATGCCCAGTCTAGCTGCTGAACTGTGTGAAGCTGCTTCTTTCTGCCCAGGGATAAAGCACAAAGCAATCATATTCCTGCAAAGGGGTATTTCTTTGTAAAGACTTCCTGGGTAGGGCTTGTTCTGACCTAGGCTTTCCAAGAGCATGTAGCAAACTCCTTGTCCCGACAAAAACCTCTTTTCATAATTACTGTGAATTCTGCTCATTCACATCTAACAAAGTCTTTCAAGGGAGGATTTACAGTCACAGACCTTATCTAGCTTGGAGAGCTGACAGGCCAATATCTGCAAAACTTTGCAAGGTGTCTCGGAGAGTCACAAACCAATTAAGCGAACTAATAGTCCCTTGCAAACTCCACTCCTCTTTTATTTCCTCTGGGAGGGCCATTCATTGTCCACCTGTGGTCTTATTCCCAAGTTGACCCCTGTTCTTTAGCTGTTCCCTTCGTCTGGCAACTCTGTGCATGTGCACACTGGGTACAGGCTCCAGCTGTTCATCTGCTTCATTGATGTCTGACTCTGTTAACTGGCATCCAGCTCTGGCCCCCTCTCTGCCTCTAACACAGAGCCCTCATCAGAGCCTTCCCCAGACTCCAGGACTGGCCCATGTTCCTCCCCAACCTCCTCACTGCCTGAATCTGTTGCTAGCTCCACTGGATGCTGGCAGGCCACAACAGGGCTGGGGTGAAAGGGGTTAAAGGCTACTTTTGGCTTTCACTCCCCCTCCCTTTTTTATACTGCAAAGGCAGCCCCATATAGTGCAGGAGCTCAGTGCAAAGTGGTTTGGGGGGGCACTGAAGCACTTTTAAGCCGCTCAATACTTTTTTCCTCCTTTTTCACTGCACTGCATGAAGCCAGTTCCATACAAGCTGGCACCCTGGCCAGGCACGCCTCATAAGTGGCAGGGGCATGAAGATGGCAGTGTAGGTCAGCTAGAAGTGTGGAGCACAGGGCAGCAAGTGCAACTGGAACTGTCTCAGGGTATGGCAAGCAGTCACAGTGCCACATAGTTCTGGGTCTGCTGCTTTCCCTGCAAGAGCCACCAAAAGTGCAGAGGAAGGAAGAGAAAGGGATTTAGAGGCAGTCCCTTATTTACTGAAGCTTGGAGCAAGAAGGGACCAACCAGGGGTGAAATGCTACTGGTTCGCCCAAACCGGTTGGGAAAAAAATGAAACCAGTTCAGGCGAACCTGTTTTTCTGACAATCAGCTGTAACACGCAATTTATACTAGCTAGAATCGTCAGATTTCCTGCTTTCTAGCTAATATAAATCACGTGGCACAGCAGATTCCCCCCCTCTCTGTTTCCTTATCTTTGCAGGCACTCAGTAGCAGGCTCACCCACCCGCACAGATGTCATCACATCTGCTTTTGATGCTCTGCGCATGCATGGGAGATCCTGCACATGCGCGCACTCACATTGCTACCGAACTGGTAGCAAAGGTAAATGGATTTCACTCCTGGGACTAACCTACCTGTATGCATATTTGTCCAATCAGTCATTACACAAGATTCTTGTTTAATGACAAGATTCTTGTTCAATGCTAAGGAAACATGCTAAGGAAAACATTGCTGTGCAAGGCAAATAAAATAAATACATTATCTATGAAACTAATTTTTTACCATTATATGTGTATTCAATCATAGAATGTGCATCCTAATCTATAGTCTAAATTGCTGCAGCTTAGAAATAGTTTTCATGCTTCACAGAAAGTTAGTTTATTCTTATAAACAGCTGAATAACTATAATTTTTTTGTTTTAATTACATTTATCTTGGCACTTCTCAAGGAACAATCTCTGATAAAATATTTTGTTATTTTTCTCAAATATCTCTAGTCCAGACCCTCGGAGGTGAAGATTAAATGAAGGATTGACACAAATTCAATTTGGGGTACATATATGCAAATTGTAGGTTATGTTATGTTGCATTATTAATTGAATTATTATTTACTTTTGTGGGAAAACGAGAGGAAGCTGTGTATGCTGTCTTGATGGCCTGCAAGAAAGGCAGAATCTATATCTAACAAATTGGATAATATTCTGATTATCTTCAATAGGGCTTTACTTACAAAGAGGGAGTGTAAAGATAAGGGTGATCTGAAAAATATGCTAATATGAATATTCACAAGTATACCAGTCCAGACCTACAATGAAATGAATAGTTTGAATTCTGTTGCAGACATGCATATTTAGTGTATTTAAGAGTGTAAAACACAGTTAAAAGTTGATTTCCTTGACACTCTAACCTATAATGGAAACAAACAATTTTTAATTCATTGTCATTCAGAATTGTTATAGTGGATATTTATGTAGCCCAATTACATTTATGTTTTTAGATTTTACACACACACACACACACACACACACACACACACACACTGAAGCCTCCTATAAGAGAAATACTATATATTAAGCTAAACTGACCATAAAAATTCAGCTGAATCAATGAAATTGGATCATAAAAATGCCATAAAATTTTTAAAACTATTTTCACTATGTTTTTAAATTTAAGGCAATAAGCCATCAAAAATACATGAAATAAACACAATCGTAATACAAGCTTAGGTAACATGATATACTGCTGATCAATATTATTAAATAAATTGAAAGCTTTCAGAAAATATTTCTATAATAAGCAGTTATGACAGGAGTTAAAAACTAATACATATATTGTTATATGTAACGACTAAAAATAACCCAATGACTCAGATAATGGATTTAAAATAGGGCATGTAGAGGCTTTAAATAACAAGAAAAACCATTGGGAAAGTTAGTAAAATTAATGCAGTATTCATAATTAAACTTTTTTTTTTACAAATATGGTAATCTCTATTAGCAAGACATTTCGTATTATTGTTTACACGAATGCTTTTCAATTGGAGGATATTGTTCATTTTTCACTGTATTCTATTATAGACTGAGATCCAGTTTAGTGCAGGGGTAGAAGACTATGACTGTGAGCTCTAACCCCATTTTAGGTACAAAGCCAATTGGGTGACCTTGGGCCTGTCACACTCTCTCAGCCCTAGGAATTACACAATCACAAGCCATTTCTGAAAAACCTCACCAAGAAACTGCAGGGATGTCTCTAGGAAGTTTCCAAGAATGAGACATGATTGAACAGAAGAGGAAAAAACTTTTACTTTTCTGCAACATTTTATTATATAATTTTTCTGCAATGTTTTGTTGCATAATGTCACCATTACAGGTATGCTTTTGAAACAGAAGACAATGAGTGATACAATGAGATCTTAACTATTGCCATTTGTTTTCTCTCAAGAAAATTTTCTAAAAAAAATTTTTTTTTTAAAGTATGGTTGTATTGTGCTTGGAGAGAAAAACAGTTCAGTCATATATTTCACATATGCATCATCTGTGAAAACGTTTCCAATAAAGCGTACATTATAAGCTTTCCGGCAACCGGAAAGTTTCGTATCAAATGCTTTCCCAAAGTGGAAGCAGTATTATGCCAGGAGCAGAGGTGGGTTCCTACCAGTTCGCACCTATTCGGTAGAACAGGTTCGTCAAATCTACCGAACCGGTTAGAAGAGGTTCCACCTGTGGACCCGGAAAGCAGGCCACACCTACAGAAGAGGTTCCAAAATTTTTGGAAACCCACCACTGGTCCTTGGATATGATTATTCTACACTATCATGCTCCTATTTATAAAACTCAGTGCCTCTGTGAAAGGTAAGGATGACTACTGCGTTTGTGGTGCAATCAGAACATTGCGTGTGTTGAAGTTGTTTTAACGCAAACCAAAGATGCCTTTTAAAAAATAAGTTTGCATCATATTCTTATGCATGCCAGTGCTGTGTGTGAGGTAATTTAAGGTGGTTCTGACAAGTGTTGTCGGCGTCTTCATATCCGGTCACATGGGCGACAAGCCACTCCCACAAAGGAGGCCACACCCACAGAGTAGGTTCGAACAATTTTTGAAACCCACCACTAGCCAGGAGCAACTGAATATAGATGTGCGTCCAATTTTGTTTTCATGCCTGTTGTCTAAGCTAGTCTCATCTATGGATATTAGACTTTAATCTCAATTTCTAAAACTAAGTACGATGAAAAAAATATATCCATGAAACTAAAATTTGTGAACAAAATCCAGTAAATATAAATGTAGAACATAGGAAGACATGAGTATACACAATGTTTCACGCTTTTAAAAAAATGCTCTAGAACTACAGTGAATGAAAATCATGCAAAACAGAATACATGTAACAATCTTGCAGATTGCTGGTTTTTTTTGGGGGGGGGGTTTGTGCACTGATCGAATGATTTTTTTTCTAGGTTGAAACTTTTCTGTTCGTGCCTTTTCCTGCCTTCTGGATTCTTATGGCCTTTTTGTCTCCCGAGAAATATTTGGCCATGTATATATACCTTCAAAATTTCCTTTGTACCGTTGCTCATTTCTTCTCTCTCCTTTTGCTGTCCAATGGCTATACTCTGCTTTTAAATTCCCAATCCCAGCATTATGGATTCCTTTCCAGTTATTTCTACAACCAATTCTCATGTCCCAGAGATTTTGTTCCAAATAAAAACAATAAAGTCAAGCCCAAAAACTTCTCTATTACTGGAGAGAGATAGGAAAAGAGATAAGAGCAGAGCAGTACATTTTCTATATTTTATCTTATTTTATTTTAATATTTTATTTCATTATTATTCTATTTATTTCATTTCATTTACTGTTTTATTTTATTTTATTTATTTTATTATTATTTTATTAGCTGCCCATATTACCATAGAATAACTCTGAGTGGCTTACAGTTACATATACAGTTAAAACATAGAAAGTTAAAATCAGACATAAAAACTAAAGACACACGAGGAGGACAGGAGCTGGGTGGGGAGGAGGTGGGATCTGTTATTACTCAATCAACCACTTCGATTGGGCTGTTCCCCCGCATTTTAATTGCTGTATGCCACCCAGAGTCACTATTTGTGATGGGATGCCATAAAAATTTAATAAAAAAATATAAAGAAATTCAGTAGTGAAAGAAAAGTTTGTATTCTGCCTGTGTGATCTGAAAAAGTCCTCAAATGTGGTTCTTCATCAAACTGAAAATAGATACCAACTGGATGCAACCATGTTCAGACTTGATCCCAGTATTCTACAACACCTTTATTAATGACTTGGATAAAATGGTGAAAATACTAGTTATGATATCGGTAGAAGAGATAAAACTTTAAAATTATCTTGATAAGTTGGAAAAATAGATAAAAGCAATTGACTGAGATTTAATCAAAGTCTTCCCCTAAGAAAAATAAATCAAGTGTAGGGCAAGAGATATTTGGCTTATCATTAATATTTGAAAAAAGATTTTGTGATTGCAGTAGAATGGTGTGGCTAAAAAAATCCAGACACAATTTTAGGTTACACCTATATAAATCTATTTTCCAAATCACAATTCTAAACTCAACCCTTTAAGAAAAATCTGAAGAATAAGAGTGTTACATTAACATTCTTCAAATAGCTAAAAGAATGTCACAGAAGTTATAAGAAATTGCAGGACACCAAATAGTGTACTTCAATTCCAGAAAAGTTTCCAATTAGGGGGTAAAACAGTAAAGTCCAGTTGAAACAGTTGAACCAGTTACCCAGAGAGATGGTTGGCTCATTTTCAACAGATGCATTCAAGCATCCAAGATATTTCAGTTTTAATTACTGCACTTAATGCGGTTTTGGATTCAATGGCTAAATGGCTTCCTAGAGGATCTATGATGTGATTTTGTGAAGAGGCTCATGTTCAGAAAACAAAACCTGTAATAATATCCCTATTTCTGAAAGCTTTAAAATATATAATACTAATAATAGCATTAATAATTATTGATCAAAGTATGCCCTGCCAAATAAGAATAGAATTTCCAAAAGATTCTGCACATACATTAAAAAATGGATGGCTTGAGTAACCCATTATTATCCTCACTGATAAAAATTATTCTTTTATGAGAACAAGAATAAAGAAAAATATAGTCTTTTCTTCATATGGATTGTATTAATGACATGTAATCAATATCCATTCTGCCTAAAGAATCTATGTGCAGTGCTCCAGAATGTTATATTTCTATATTGTGAAATATGTCGATATGATAGAATTCTGTTAAAATGACAAAAATGTAAGAACTAGATTTCTATACTTACCTCATGAATTACAGCTTAATGTGAATCAAGGTCAATTGTTGTCCTTAATTTCTATACTATACAACAGTGGTTCTCAACCTGTGGTCTGCTGACCTCGTGGGGGGGGCATGATGTCATCACAGGGGCTCTACGAAGGCTTGAATAAATGCTATGATTTAAATCCTGAATTAAGTGTTGGGGGTCCGTGGCCATGAACCATGGCCACAAAAGGTATTTAAAGGAGATCAGTAGTGAAGAAAAGGTTGAGAACCACTACTATACAAAATGGGCAACATTTCTGTAATTTGTTATTTATTTTGTAAAATAATTTAACAAAATAGAACATTGGTTGACTATTAAAATAGCAAGCTAAAATGTAATGATGGGTTCAAAAAGGAAACACAAAGATGCTACTGCAAATGACAGAACTCTCTAATAAATGGGGATCTAATTTTACCTGAGATCATCCTGTGAGTATCTCCTTTGCAAATCCTCTTTATTGCTTGTTTCTGTTCCTTCCTCAGTTATCTCCTCTTGGGCCCCTTCATCCTCTTCTGCTTCTTTATCTTCCTCATCACAGTTCTTTGTCACCTCCTCCCCTTCCCCCTTTTCATCATCTTGTTCATCCAACTTTTCCTCCAGTTCCTGATTCTCCTCTTCTTTCTCAAGGAATACTTCCCCATCCCCTTCCTCCCCTCCCTCATTTCTTTCCTCATGTGATCTTCCGAGGGTAACAAAAATTGAGGAAGCATGCAAGCAAATGAAAAAGAAGACAGAACCCAGTTAGGAAAGCAAGACAGAATCGAAACCTTTACTGAACTGAGGGTGGGAGAGGACAGACACAAAATAAATACTAAATGGCAATGATGAGGGAGAAAAAACATGCACCCAATTCTAGGAACTAATTAAGATAGACTCTTATTATTTTAAAGATCAGAAATGTCAAGAAGTCTGTACAATAACATAAATGACAAAATATCTATATAACCTGTTTCCCTGAAAATAAGACCTCCCTGGATAATAAGCCCAATCAGGCTTTTGAGCACATGCACTAAAATAAGCCCTCCCCTGAAAATAAGCCCGTCCTGAAAATATTGCAACACAGCAACAGCCATGAGGTGATCACACTCGCCGCCTCCTGCACCTCAAAAATAATAAGACCTACCCAAAAATAAGCCCGAGTGCTTATTTCAGGGGGTCAAAAGAAAATAAGACACTGTCTTATTTTTGGGGAAACACAGTAGATATTTTTTAAGATTCAGGACAAAAATATTTATGAATCTTTCTGAATGTGTTGTACACAAATACACATCTGTAATACTGCTCTATGGCTTTGTGAAATCCATAACCACTACCGACATTAAATATTATATTGTCTGCTGGAGGAATCTGAAGGTGCATACAGCTGTACACATAATGAATGCATCATGAGCTCTTCACATGGAAGACAATTTGGCTCTCCTACAGTCAGAATTAAAGCAGTACTGAGGGGCGGGAGGGATTTTTAGAAGAGGCCTATTTTAGGAACATCCTAATGAGGTTTACATTACCATGACGTATATTTATGAAATGTAGTCATTAAGATCCATACATGACTTGCTATTATAATCCAGAACATTTATTTTAAATTGTCCTATAGTGTGGAGTTTTAGTAAACAGTTTGTTTTGAAAGTAAGTAACCTACTTTCAAAGAACATAAACGAATACAGACGGCTACACTGAAATTTCAGAAAGTGTACTGGAAGAGAAATGTACTGTGATCCAGCTCAATTCATGGAAAATAAAATTAAAGCAGATTTGTAGTTTCTTACCTAATTTTCTTGTTTCCTCTTGGCCGTTCTGATTGCACAGACATGTAACTAGTGCTGCTAAAACGGGATGCACTGCTGGTTCTTGAGACTGCTGATACATCACTGACATCACTGTCCGAAGACTTGTTGGACACATTATCAGAGCCCCGTTGAGGGTCCCGCCCAGGACGATACTGTAATACAAATGAACTATGATGTTCAAGGTAGCCTTAAAGGGATCTTGTTCTTTTAATAATTCATATCCAGGCTTTTTATTTATCTACAGAGGGTTATTATTATTATTGTTGTTGTTGTTGTTGTTATTATTATTATTATTAAATCTCAATATTACCCAATAGCTTGAAAATTTACTTGAAAAATCTCAAATAATTTTTTCTTTAATGTGCTCAAAGTAGTTTGTGTGGTGTAAAAATGCAATCAACAGTAAAATAACATTACATAAATATTTTTTAAAAAGAAGGCTATTTTAAAGGAAGTGTTTGAAGGCCTGCAAAATATGAACCAATGTCTGTACCGATATAAAATTCTTGTTGCAAATTTTTTCATACATTTCATAAAAACTGAGACAGTGTTTTAGGTTATCATTGTCATCACCCAACAGTGAGATATAACAATCAGGGAAATTCATATTTAGTTGTAACAGGGATATTACGAACTATCTCAAAAATGTTGCCAGAGTTTTTGTTCTTTGTTTTAGCTATGACAACTTTACACAAAATATAGATTAAATCAGGGGAGGGCTGCTATGGGTTTGCCCAGTTTCGGGAGAACCCATACCTAATGTTATGGCATTTCCGACTTTCGCAGGGCCTCTGGAGCCTGGGAGAAGCAGTTTTCACCCTCCCAGAGGTTCGAGGAAAGCCTAAAGAGCCTGGGGAAAGCAAAAATACCCTCCCACCATGGTGCAGGAGGCCAACTAGGCCATGCCTACCATGGTCATGCCCATCCAGCAACCTGGCAGAAAACCCATTGCTGAAATTTTTGAATCCCACCCCTTGATTAAATAGTTGTCAACTTTAACATAAAGGTCTTTGTAAGCCGGATGGTTTATATCTTGTCTTGTATGCAACCAACCAAATTTAATTTATTCTATAAACCACAGTTAAACAAATGTGCCCATAAAAGATTATATTAATTCTTTACAGCAACTTATCACAGTAAATGGGCATTTGCATTCAAGCTCTGTGTCTTAAATAATATATACTTTATTATTCCATAGAACTGCATTCATTATATTAGGATTGGTGAATACCTTTTCCCCAAACACATTACAATATGGCAGTACCAGATGGCTGGAGAATTTACAAAGAAAGAACTAAACCGAACAGCAGATAAATCGTTCTTCTGATTGTTTGAAACATTTGAGTTTCTTGCCAGGAAATGTATTGAGAGAGACTTATGAAATCCAGAAAACTGTAGGAATGTCAGAAACTGTTTTGGTAACAACGGAAGAGCAACCAATGAAGATAAATAATCTGCTAATTCCTTTCCCGAAGTTAATTTGTGAAACATGTTGCAACAACATTTTGGGATAACTTTAAAATGAGAAATTCAATTAGAAAACAAAGATTCATGGCTGGCATATGGGCCATATTACCAATTTCCATGTTTACAGGCATTTCATCTTTATGCCAGATATTAAAATATACAAAAAGCCTGATATTGATTTTAATCAATGATATCAACTCTTCTTGATTCTAATAATATTGTTTTTATAATTTTATAATTTTGAATTTAGAACCATACTAAGTCTTGTGTAGAGAGAAAGTGGCATACATAGATTAATAAATAAATAAATAAATAAATAAATCCATAGCAGCAAAGAAAAAGCATGAATTTTAGAAAGAAAGGCAATGTTAAATATTTTCACAACCTCTAATTTAGTAATGCTAATAAAACATTTGAAAGAATTAAAAAATAGGAAATTATTTTTTAATTTCTTAAAAAATTAAATTATATATACAGCATTATATTGTATATATTATATTAAAATGTATTTTAATGTATACTTTCTGCATATACTCTGCGTGGCAGGGAGAATTTAAACTCAAAATTATATATAATATAAAAGTATAAACTAAATAGTTACTACGTACAGATATAAAATATATATTCTAAAAAGTAACAAATTGTTATAAGAAATTGGAGAAGAATTCACTTTAGAAATGAAATAAAAATTTCAGAGAATAACAAATGATTAATGGGATAAATTTTTATTCTATTACTAAAAGTTCTAGACCAACCTTTCCCATCCTAAAAGCTGACTAGAATGAAGGTATATTTAGATATATGAATTTAAGATCTAGATTTAGATTACTTTCTACTCCAAAGCATTTATAGTACAAGACACAATAAAACTATGAGATATTGCATTTATTTTAAAAATTCCCCATTTTTGTGACAGTTTAAAATTTTATAATGCAACTTCCACTTGTTTGCACTCAACAGGATTTTGACCAAACAAGACAGTTTTTCAAAATTTCAAGAAATGTTAGACCAGTTTTTATACATTGGGAAATATGCATTTTTAAAAACAATATGAAGGAAAGATGCTTATCTGGTTTCTTTAAATATTCTCATAGCAATTTAATTTCTAAGCTCTTTAACATTTTTCCTGAAATCTGCAGAGATACATTACTTTCAATAGTCTGAATTCAAAACATGTATGTTCAGCTCAGTCAATACTGACATTCATTTTATCATCTGCTATAAATCTTGTATGCCAAATTATAAACCATATATCCTTCTAATCAGTTTTCATTGAGTTTGCATTTATTGGACTGGTTCCAAACTTATATTATAAAAGAGAACACCATGATATAATAGAGCTGACTGTAGTAATAATTGTAATAGACCCAACAGGAATCAGTATTATTTCTAATCCATTAATTTTAGTCCATTATCTTCAAGAAACTTTAGTTTAAGCTTCTTAAACTTAGTTACTACATATTCAGTAGTCATTAAAATTTGTTGTTTGTAGTTTTCCATATTTCTTCTGAATGTGTACATTATATCATATATACCTCTGAAAGAGAAATGTATTATTTAATGTTCCGAAGACAGAAATTACCAGTTAAATTTGTTCTAACTAAAGAGATATTTTTTAAAAAAATGTATTTTTAATACGTGAAGCATTTCTTGCTTTTTGCTAAAAACGATTCATGCTTTATCGGTATATATTATTTCATGTTTTCTTAAACCTGAATTAAAGCTGTTTAAACCACATCTGGGAGTCCTATCATTATTACAGATATTTAGTAAAATACAGTTAGTCCTTATAACCATTTGTTTAGTGGCTATTTGAAGTTACAGCAGCACTGAAAAATTATGATCATTTTTCACACTTATAACTATTGCAGCATCCCCACCATCACCTGATTAAAATTTGGATGCTTGGCCTGTATTTATGATGGTTATAGTGTCCCAGGGTTATGCAATTACCTCTTGTGACGTATAGCAAGCAAAGTCAATGGGGAAGCCAGATTCATTTAACAACCATGTTACCAACTTAACAAGTTCAGTGATTCACTTAACAACTGTGGCAAGAAAGCTTGTAAAATGGGATAAAAATCACTTAACAACTGTCTTGCTTAGCAATGGAAATTTAGGGTTCAATTGTTGTCATAAGTTGAGGACTACCTGTTATGGGAACCAATGTTATAGGAGTACCTGAAACTGATAGGAAGCATTACAAACTAGAAACGGTTAACTACCTTGATTCCCCAAAAATAAGACCTTCCCAGATAATAAGCCCAATTGGGCTTTTGAGCGCATGTGCTAAAATAGGCCCTCCCCTGAAAATATTGCTACAAAACTGCAACCATGAGGTGGCCCAAAAATAAGGCCAATTGCTTATTTCAGAGGTCAAAAGAAAATAAGACCCTGTCTGATTTTCGGAGAAACACGGTATTAGTGTTTGAAGGCAATAAAAATCAGGAAATATCGGCAACTATATTGAAGTGAATCAACACTCTTTGAAAGGGGTATGGGACAGAATTATATAAACAGAAACTATATATTGGCATATGGGTAAATTTGGGTCAAAGAGGCCATCTACATTATGATTGAACAGTCCTCTCTCAACAGTGGGAGGGGATACAACACCACCTAACTTCTGTTTACAACATAGTCTTTTCAGCAGTTCCAAGAAGATTCCACACCCATTTGCAGTCTTTGGGTGACTCTTGAAGGTACAGATAAACCTCCAAGTGGCCTCAACAGCTCTCAAAAAAGAGTCCTAATGACCAGATGACCAAAAGGAATATACGTAAATCCTTCCATCCTCCACCGTTCAATCAGAACTGAAGTAGCTTCTTGGAGGAGAAGGAAAACGTCTTCAAGGAAAAAGAAAGTCCAATTGCCTTTTGGAAAAAGGACTTTGGGCTTATCCTGCAGAATTAAGTTTCTCAATGAATTCTGAATGAAAATTCACAAAACGTGACAAGGAATAGTCTACTAGTAACATTTTGCCTTTTTGGTCAGAAAATATACATAATTGTAAACAATTTTTGAATCACAGCTTCCTTTTTTCACAGATGGTTACTTTGGAACAATTTGGGATAACAAACAACTTTTTTCTGAATCATTTATGTCATAGAACCTTTTATCTTGAGAACTTTTTATTTTTACATGCCACTAAAATGCAGAGTATTCTAATACTTATTCTAATATTAATATTGCTTAGCATGTTGAATGATAGCCAGCAAAATATGTCTATTTCTTGATAATAGAATAATAATTCAATTTCCTTTCTCTTTATTTTGTGGATGTCCCAAGAAATATTATTTTGCTTTTTTTGTTGTCATTATTCATTTTGTTTGAGGGGCTATATTGTGCTTGGTCCTCCATTCTTATGGAAACTTTTCCTGTTTATTTACCCCACGAACGTTTAGAACTGATGTTATACCAAAAATACTTTTGATCAACATTTGAAAGTCTTTCTTTCTGTTCCAACATTGGAAGTTTTTAAGAAGATGTTGGATAACCATTTGTCTGAAGTGGTATAGGATTTCCTGTCTAAGCAGGGGGTTGGACTAGAAGACCTCCAAGGTCCCTTCCAACTCTGTTATTCTATTATACAAGCCAGATAACATTTTTTCCCTTCAACTTCTTACTACAAAGCTGGTGTTTTTCATTTTAGAAGACTTCTTTTATCACTTGTACAAGATGGCTT